GGGCGGGGGTCTCACCTGTGGTGTCTTCTCCCCCTCCTACCCCTCCCCCCCTCTCAACGTGCATTTTATCAAGTGTGTGTCTGAGGGGGGGGGTCGCGCGCGTCCTGCTGCCCCCGAGCCCGATAGTGCACCGCGGGGGCGGGGCAGGGTTCTGAGAAGCACATGGGCGTTGAATACGGAGAAGAAAGAGAACGAGGAAAGGCCCAGGGGGAAAACACATTTGGGATAGCTAGTTATCTCTAGCAAACAGTTGAGTGTGGATATCAGCGGTGCCCGCGACCTTTAGGGCCTGATCGACCTTAGGACGCCGAACAGTCCGGAGCGCAGTGGAGGGCGGGGCGGGGCACGTAGGGCTCCTCTGGGAGAGCATGGATGTCGTGATCATGAGGCTAATCGTGTTGGTGTTGGGGGTGGTGGTAGCGGCGTTGGTATGGCGTGTGGGGTTGCGCGTCGGCTGCCCCCATTTCGCTTCGTATTTCTGGCGCGATTTCGTGGAAAAATGTGCCACTAATGAGTTCTCCGATATCCAGAGACGGATGGCGGTCCGTTGTTGGTGGGCCAAAAAGAGTGGACTGGCCACGGCCAGCTAGCTCGCCAGGCCCCGCTCGGGGTAACACAATTACAAACCGCATTCAATATTTTGTATTTTCTCAGGCATGCACACTGAAAGTCGACGAGTGACTTAAATCGCTCCTGGGAGAGCGACTTTTTGAATCCAATTTTGTGACTCCGGGCCGTGGGAGCGATATTTTCGGTTGCAAATATCACTCATTTTATTGAGCGATGAAAACATACGTCGCTCTGTTCGGGCAAAGAAGTGACTATCCTTTACAGTGCAAGTAGTATACATTATAATTTGTTAATTCATGCAAAGAGTGTCAACTTAATTTTCTTTCTTGTTTATTTTTATTATTTTTGTTTTGCGAAGGAGGAGGTAGTTAGGCCAGCGGAGGCCGGGCAGACGTGCTTCCCTCTTGCACGCCCACACCGCCGGGGATTAAATAAAGAGCTCGGTCGGTAAGGGGACACGGACACGAGAGCCGAGCGAAAGCTGAGCGAAAGCCGAGCGAAAGCCTACACCCCCGCAAAATAACTTCCAGGGCACTTGTTTCCCTCGCCGTTTTTTTATTCATTTTTTTATGGCGTCCTGGGTTTGTGATTGGCTAGGAATCGGCAAGGTTGTGGATAATCAGAATCGGCAGTGTACAACTGGTGTACACCGGAGTAGCAACCCGGCTCAACCGCTACCCTTACCGACTAATGAGGGGCGTCGTCTGACAAGAGGCAATGTGATAACGATTTTAAAAATCCGCGGCAAATTTGAAAATAAGTGGGTCTTTTCGGAATAATACATGGATGGTTTTGATTGGTCGGAGAAGAATTCGATAACCTTGCTGTCGCTATGCCCAACCCTACCTGCTCGCAGTAAAACCTGTGCGCAGTCTAGCGTCGCGCTCCGTGCCGGGGGTGCTGCTGGGGGTCCAGCAGGATGAGCTCCAAGAGGGGGCGGCGCCGCGTCATCGCTGGCGGGGACGTGCAAACGACGACGGGGTCCGGGGTCCTCGTCCTTTCCTCACGTCAGCGACGCGGACTCACTCGGTGCACTCGGCTTCACACCCAGGCGGGCAGCTGGCTCCTCTCCCGCCACACACTAAACTACGAGATCCGGGACGGCACGCGGCGGTGGGTGCGGCTGGGGGCTCGACAATAGCGAAAGAGGTGTTATTACCACGTTATGACTGCAATTTTAATCTAAGAACTGGGAAAGAGGGGAATTCTTGCAAACTTTCACTAGAATTAATTTTTTTAAACATCAAACTTTTGATTAACTTTACAATTTTGATTGAATTCAGGTCATTTTTTTTCTTGTAAATATTTAGGGACAAGACAAAAAATATTTCTAGATCTGTCGAGTGAACTCGCGTGGTTCAAGTCACACGGCGTCACTTGGTCCGGCGAGCAGGTGCGCGCGGTGCGAGCGAGGTGCGACTGGTGCGACAGAGGCTCCTCCGCCTTATCCCCTTCTGGGGCGGGGCGGGGCGGGGCGAGAAGGGCCCCGTGTGTCTGCTGCGGCTGTTTGTCGCGACGCCGCCGGTACGTACCGCTCGACCCACGCCCCGCCACGCCCCGCCACGCCCCGCCACGCCACGCCACGCCACGCCTCGGCCTGCCACGCCCCGCCACGACCCGCTAAGCAGCAGTAGCAGCAGCCGCATGACAGGCTGGTCGGCGCCGGGAGGGAAGGACCACGTCGGGGTAGGAGGGTTATTAGGCCGTCGTGATGGTCGAATAATCCGACCCCTCGCTCTGGTCGGGGGTGGAGGGAGCAGGAGGGGACGGCTGCGCATACCCTGCCCCCTCCTCGACGGGTCATTCCCCGTCGGATCAAGATCAAGCCCTAGTCTCTTGGTCGGATGTTCCGGGTGTAACTGTGAATACGCAGCAATGTTGCGGATGATAATAGAAATAATTGAATTCATTCTAGACGCGCGGACGCGCGGGTATGGAGAAAAATAACAACTCAACAAACAAATGAGCAGTGAAGAAAGCGAAGAAGGCCCACCCACTCACCCACTCACTCGCACCGGATGAGTTGGCGGGACAGTCGCACGCGTCTTTAGCGAGGCTCGATTAATTAGCACCGTTGGCTGGCGTGCCCTGGCGTGGCGTGCCGTGCCCGGCTGACACACGGTTCAGTTCTGACGTCACGCCTTTATCCAGAACTGGCGCCCCCGGGCGGCCGGCGCCGCACGGCGGGTGTATAGAGTCGCGCGGTTCCGCCACGCCGCCGGCGCCCTTCCGGAAATTGAAGCGAAAATAGTCGGCGTTGTGGTGTGAGCCGGATCCTCCCTCACGTCAGGTATGCGGTGTTGTGGCGGGCGGGCTCGCCTACTGCCGAGGGGGTGCATCACGCAAAGGGAGAGCGCAAAACAATTTGGTACGTACGTGAGCGCTGAGCGCTGATTGAGGGGGGGGG